CATTTTTATCCCTTGGCTGTATACTTCTGAAAACCATGTGCTTTCGCAGTGCCACATATGATATCATGGGGTATCCTGTCAAGAGATTTCTCCATATCCAGGAATGCCGCGTGTAGCTTTCTTTTATCTCTAGATTTCTCCATCACCAATCGCACAGTATGAATGGCGTCAGTGGTACCTGCACCTTTCAAAAGTTCGCGTTTATTAGATGGCAACTCTATAATCGTGTTTCAAGAACTGTAGCTCATCAGCCGGATTGCTGACATTTTGTCTAGTTTGTGTTATCTTTATTTTCCATATCGGATTCATTGTGCTCTTTGACCAGTCATATGGCATGCTCTTAACTTTGACCTGATTGAAGGGGGCCTACAAGCCAAGAGGCGCCGAATCGTCCGCAGTCTTCCCAGAATTCACTTGTAACGTCATCTAAACCGGTAGCCTCGCTGTTCTTTTCTTTGTTAGGATAAGAGTGCATAGCCATCACTACATGATCGCTCTTTAGCATTTCCCTTGTGGATTTGAATATGAGGCCAGGTCCTGAGCACTATAAAAAGGGAGAGACGTATAGTTTGCATATTGGATCTCTACCCCCATTTCGTACTTTTCTAGGGTGATGGCTATGCGTGAGTCTGGTCAGGTTTTTGATTCTTATCTTTAGTTGAACATTATCTAGAGTCACGAACATGTGGTCTGAATGGATGTTTCACTGTATTTTCGGTTTCTCAGAACTGCCATCAATCTCAGGGTTAAGCTTTTTTCTGAAATTTTTTAGAACATGTTTGATGTGAGACGGCCTATACTATTCATAACCAGTCTAATTTACCGTTGCGAAAAGAAGCTAAAGTGAAAAATGTATTAAAAAGGTTAATGTTTCAGAATTATACTCCCTCAATCTTTTGTTTCAAACTTAATAATATATTCGTCATCCATTATGGAGAAAATGCATGTTCCCTGCATGTTGTGCGTGTGTTTCAGTGACGCTGCTGCAAACTCATATCGCGATTTCTACCGCATATCGTCAGTATCACCAATCGCATTTGAGTGCGATGCAACGACTGCATCGTACAATCG